TTATAATTAGCCTCATATTACGTGAAAATCTTAATAATTAAGAAACACGTAACCTAACCCTAACATTACTTACCGTGGACGCGGGTGTGGCCGACTCGGATTCCGTGTCCATCTTCATGAGGTAGTCCAGACCAACGTCCTTCATGCCATCATCATCCTGCGCCTCGCTAGCTGACTCCTCCTCCTCATCCTCCTCCTCCTCCTCCTCTTCTTCTTCCTCTTCCTCCTCCTCTTCATCCTCTTCTTGAGCTTAACATTTGAAAAGAATGTTTGAAGTGAGATCAATACGTGCCTAACACCGAACGCACGCGGAACAAAACCTTTTTCCTCTCTTTTTTTGGCCTGGAAGAGTACTGGACAGTCAAAAATGTGAAGACTAGAATGTTCTGAAGTTTAGAAAGCAGGAAGAACATTTTGCAATGTTCTCATTCACATGGATCATAACGCCGTGACAACGATGATGACAACGATGATGACAACGATGACAACGATGATGACAGGGATGATGAACAACGATCGATGACTAACAATGATGACAAACGATGACACACAGTGATAATGAACAACGATCACAACAGATGTGACAGCGATTGAGACAATGGAACCACCCCCACGTCGTGCTCACCGGAGTAGCCCTCGGTGGACGCGTCGCCGTCCGTTGCGCGTTCGCATCTCCTCATTCCTCAGGCCGTCGCCGCCGCTCATCCTCACTGCCGCTGTGGCTGCTGCTCGCCGGCACGCTGAAGCCTTCTCTGTAGGCTCCCGCGTACTTCTTATACAGCTCCTCGATGGGCATGTCACCTGATGGAGATACGCAGACACGGTGTGAAGGTCAGGCAGGGCAGCAAGCAGCAAGTTTTACTGTGCGCTACAGTAAGAACAGTTACGTACAATACAGCTAACAGTTACAGTAACAATACAGTAACAGTTACAAGTTACAATACAGTAACTTTTAAGGAACAGTTTACTTGCTACAGTTACAGTACAATACAGTTAACTTAGGAACAGTTTACTGCCTTACAGTTAACAGTCTTACAGTACAATACAGTAACAGTTACAGTACAATACAGTAACTTAGGGACAGTTTACTGCCTACAGTAACAGTACATAACAGATAACTTAGGAACAGTTTACTGGCCTACAGTAAACAGTTACAGTAACAATACCAGTAACAGTACCAGTACAATACTTAACTTAGGGACAGTTTACTGCTACAGTTAGCAGTTACAGTTACCAAAACAGTAACTTAGGGACAGTTACTGCTTACAGTAACAGTTACAGTACATACAGTAAAACTTTAGCGGACAGTTTACTGCTACAGTAACAGTACAAGATAATACATTGTAACTTAGGGAGCAAGTTTACTGGCCTACATAACAGTTACAGTATAATACAGTATAATACAGGTAACAGTTACATGTTATCAGTTACAGTTACAGTACAGATACAGTAACTAGGGACAGTTTACTGCCTACAGTACAGTACAGTAACATTACAGTAACACAGTTACAGTACAATACAGTAACTTTAGGGACAGTTTACTGGCCTACAGTAACAGTATCAGTATTAATTACAGCTAACGTTAGGGACAATTGTCTGCCTACAGTAGCAGTTAGCAGTATAATACAGTAACTTAAGGGACAGTTTACTGCGCTAAAGTAACAGCATTACAGTACAATACAGTAACTTAAGGACAGTTTACGCCTACAGTAACAGTTAGCAGTACAATACAGTAACTTAGGGACAGTTTACTGGGCCATACAGTACAGTTACTAGTATCAATACAGTAACTTAGGCGAACAGTTTACTGCCTACAGTAACAGTTACAGTTACAATAGTAACTTAGGGACAGTTTACTGCCTACAAGCTAACAGTTACAGTACAAATAAAGTAACTTAGGGACAGTTTACTGAGCCTACAGTAACAGTTTACAGTACTAATTACAGTAACTTAGGGGAAACAAGTTGTACTGCCTAAAGTAACAGTTACAGTATCAATACAGGTAACCTTAGGGACAGTTTACGCCTACAGTAACAGTTACAGTACAATACAGTTAACTTAGGGACAGTTTACTGGCTACAGTAACAGTTAACAGTAACAATACAGTAACTTAGGAAAAGTTTACTGCTTGCAGTAACAGTATACAGTACAATACAAGGACAATTGCGAGCACACACGAGACATGTTGGGAGACACTACGGAGACGGTGTGTGAGACACACGAGACGTGTGTGAGACACACGAGACGTTGTGTAAGGCGGTGGTGACGATACCTGCACTATTGTGTGTAAGGTGGAGGTGACGGTACCTGCGGAGGTGTGTAAGGCGGTGGAGCCGCCCCCTGGGAGCAGTGGTGACGGTACCTGCACTATTGTGTGTAAGGTGGTGGTGACGGTACCTGCGGAGGTGTGTAAGGCGGTGGCGGCGGGTGGCTGGGGACGTGTGACTGCGTGGTGCGACCCTGCTGCTGCTCGGATGATCGCGGTGACAGCCCGGCGCCGGAGGAAGCCTGCGACGACGACGACGTTCCGCTGTACACCATGCCGTGCCTGCCCCCGGACGACTGCTTCGCTGCGGAAAACAAGAGGCAAGCGAGCGCCAAGATGAGACGGTGATACAGACAATGACAAGGGGCACGTACTCATTGTTGACGATCCTCATACAAAATGTTAATTACCTACGTATTTTGTGACTCTACAAAGATATTCTACAACTACAAGATGAACGACGACGATTCACACATCACATGGATGCAAAACACCAGGGTTATTGAACTATATTTTAGCTAAAGTTGCTTGCTACTTCGCTTTTCCCGCCCCTTCCCCTCTTTCCTTCCCTCCCTGCCTCTGCTTCCCTTACCTCTGTTTCCTCTCCCCTCCTTCCCTTCCCTCCCTCTCATTCCTCTCTTTCCTTCCTTTCCCTCCCACCCCTTCCCCTCCTTCCTTCCTTCCCTCCCTGCCTCTGCTTCCCTTACCTCTGTTTCCTCTCCCCTCCTTCGCTTCCCTCCCACCCCTTCCCCTCCTTTCCTTCCCTCGGTTTCCTCTCCCCTCCTTCCCTTACCACTGCTTCCTCTCCCCTCCTTCCCTTACCACTGCTTCCTCTCCCCTCCCTGCCCCTCTCCTCACCTTGTTGGCACTTCTGCGCTAGCTGGCTGACCTCGGGAGGCAGGCACGTTGACATGGCAACGGCCGTCCCTCCGCTCGTCAGCTTCACCTCCTTCTTCACGACCTCCTCCTCCTCGTCATCGCTGTCCAGCTTGTTCGTCTTGAGGAAGGTGAGCAGCTGAGGCGTCGGCTTCCTCTTCATCGCGACGTAGTCCATCATGTTTCCTCCCGTCTGCAGGTAGAACAGCTCGATCATGTGCTCGTTGTACAGCTCCTTCAGCAAGGGAAGCTCCTTCACCTTCTGTTCGTGCACGAGCCCACGCAGCGTCGCCGCATCCTTTACCTCCTCCTCCTCCTCTTCCTCCTCCTCCTCGTACTTCAGACGCTTCACCGGAGGCTGCCCGACGAGCGACGCGGTCGCCGCGGCGACGGGACTCGCGCGCCGCTGCTGCTGCGTCGTTGCCGTGGTGACGGTGTGAGGGACAGCGAGTGGGGGCACGCCGCCGCGCGACGGACTCTGTCCGTGGTGGTGGACGGTGCCTCCTGGTATCGTCTCCTGAAGTCCTGGCTGTCCTACGTTGACCAGCACGCCCTGCTGCCGCCGTGGCACGCCCTGCAACCACCCACGCACGTTACTACATCACTACGTTGACCCAGCACGCCCTGCAACCACCCACGCATGTTACTGCTACCACCCACGCACGTTATTACATCACTACGTTGACCAGCACGCCCTGCTGCCGCCGTGGCACGCCCTGCAACCACCCACGCACGTTACTACATCACTACGTTGACCAGCACGCCCTGCAACCACCCACGCACCCACATCACTACGTTGACCAGCACGCCTGCTGCCGCTGCGGCACGCCCTGC